GTTTTCAATAAAGTTTTTCAAAGTGTCAAAGTTTTCTTCAAAGTTTTCAAAGTGTCAAAGTTTTCTTCAAAGTTTTCAAAGTGTCAAAGTTTTCTTCAAAGTTTTCAAAGTGTCAAAGTTTTCTTCAAAGTTTTTCAAAGAGTCAAAGTTTTCGATAAAGTATTTCAACGTGTCAAAGTTTCAAATAAAGTTTTTCAAAGTTTCAAAGTTTTCGATAAACTTTTTAAAAGTGTTAAAGTATCCAACTTTTCAATAAAGTTTTTCAAAGAGTCAAAGTTTTCGATAAAGGTTTTTCAAAGTGTCAAAGTTTTCGATAATATTTTTTTAAAGTGTCAAATTTTTCGATGAACTATTTCAAAGTGTCGAAGTTTTCAATAAACCTTTTCACAGTGTTAAGGTATCCAAAGTTTCGATAAAGTTTTTCAAAGAGTCAAAGTTTTCGATAAAGTATTTCAAAGTGTCAAAGTTACCAATAAAGTTTTTCAAATTGTCAAAGTTTTCGATAAACCTTTTAAAAGTGTAACAGTATCCAACTATTCAATAAAATTTTTCAAAGAGTCAAAGTTTTCGATAAAGTTTTTCAAAGTGTCAAACTTTTTGATAATTTTTTTTAAAAGTGTCAAATTTTTCGATAAACTATTTCAAAGTGTCGAAGTTTTCAAAAAACCTTTTCACCGTGTTAAAGTATCAAAATTTTTGATAAGGTTTTTCAAAATGTCAAAGTTTTCGATATGGTTTTTCAACATGTTAATGTTTTCGATAAAGTTTTTCAACATGTCAAAGTTTCCAATAAAGTTTTCCAACATGTCAATTCTCGCCAAAGTTTTTCAAAGTGTTAAAGTTATCACTATAGTAAATCAAAGTTTTCAAAGTGTCAAAGTTATAACTATAGTTAACTATAGTAAACTAAAGTTAACTATAGTTAACTATAGTATTTTTTGTTTTTGTTAGGGAATACTCACCTGAGTTTATTTGGAATAAATTGATGATATGTTGATCTCATAACTTCTTACGATTATAGCTATATTTTAAGATCAATGCGATGATTCAGAATCTAAATTAGTAAAGATTTTTCGAGCCTAAGGGGTAAGGTTGTTTTCGATGGGGGAAATCATCGTACTGACATGAAAAATAAACAGTATCATATATTATTTTGTCCTCCGCTTGAAAAGCGGGAGGGTATATAGTGATTGAGATGTCGGTCCGTCTGTTACGCTTTATGGTATCCATCTGTTATCCGCAACTCCTCTTACTTTATAAAAAATGTATTTGTAAAACAGCTATGCCCTTGTATGGGAATATAACGAAGATTGAACTTTTCTTAAAGGCAATTTAAATATATAATGGTACTCAAAGTAGGGTCTTCTCACAAGAAATACAATTGCAAAATAAGAATGCCCTAGCATCACTTGTTCAAAATTAATGGCTAAGGATAAGTGTTTAAAAGGTTGGTCAAACTCAAAGGTCAAAGGGTCAAAGTTGATGGTTTCTTAAGAAAGGTTTAATATAACAAGGATTACAATTGTGAAGTATGAGAGTACTAATATATACAATTTAAAAGTTATAGCCAAAGTAAATTGATTTAAAAAAATGGCATTTTTGTGTTAAATAGGGCAAACTCCAAGGTAAAGGTCAAAAGGTAAAATTTGGTGGTACCCAAAGTAAAGTCTTGTCACAAGGAATGTACACATATTAAATATGAAAGACATAGCTACAATAAATGAAAAGTTATGGTAAAGGTTAACGTTTTGCGGAGAAACAGACCGCCAGATAGACAGACAGACAAACAGACGGACACGATAAAACTATATACCCCCGTATCTTCGATTACAGGGACATCAAACGAAATGGTCTTCAATTAACTTATATAATGATACAGTATAAAGAAGAGGTTACAAAAGAGAAATGTTTGTTCTGATTTTCAAATTAAATTATCTGAAAAAATATATTCAGAAATGGGTAAAATCGTAGAGTAAAAGAAGAATTAAGAAATGTAATGAATACTGTGTGCTATATCAAAAGGTTATGTCTTCATGTAGAGTTTTTGCATTACAATGTGTATTTTACACTAGCCAATAGCGTTTCAGAAGATTATATTTTTAGGTGTTATACTCACACCACCCCCTTACTTATTTAGGAGGAAGTTGATTATCAACAAAGGAACAAAAAACTACCCTACCTTTATTTTCTATAAGGAGGGACTAAAAATAAGCTTAAAATAATCTACTATTTTACTAATTTTCAACTGTTACTTTGCCACAAAACTTTCAATTATATCCCCACGAAGATTTAAAGTATGCTTTAATCATGGGGAGGTAAATTATGATATGATAGAACTTGTGAGAAGGTTTAACTTCTTTCAATATTTTATCTAGAGCCTCTTTCAGTACTATTGAACGGTATAGAATTTTATTTATATTTTAGCTTTTCATTTATTTTTTGTTTGTTTTGATTTAACTTTTTGTGGGGGGGGGGGGGGGGGTAAAATTCCCCCCTCTTTCATTGTCAAATAGGATTTGACAAACTTATACAAGCTAAAAGAGGAAATGAATAAAAACTATTTTTCTTTTAAAGGGTATTGGAACCGGATTGTTGCATGGTTTGATTTCTAAAACCAAGTGGAATATCTTTCTTAAGCAAACACTATAAGGAGGGATATTAAAAAGAAATTTTATTTACCTGACAATTAAAGATTCTCTTTTCACTTTAAAGGGGGTCATTTTTCAATGGAAGTCAATTTTTGTTATAGGACTAACATATAAAATAATGACCCCTAGGACACCTTTTTTTTTTTTTTTTTTTACAAAAAAATGACTTTTTTATACGGGTAGGGGGTCATTTGTTGTCGTTGAAAAATGACACCCGGTCATTATTCGATGGGGCTTTTTACCCGTCTTTACACCGTCTCTTGATGTTCTAGGTGACCCTAAGCGACCCTATTGCGTTAAATGGAGATCTCGCCGCGATTTTACAGTGCTGTAGGAGACTTTTCTGCGATCACTTTGACGTTTTGCATTTTTATGGCTGCCGTGCAATCGCCGTGAGGACGCAGTACCGATGTGACTAGGGTTTTAGTTATTCAACATAAGAATAGGATACAAATTTCAAAGCAAGAAAAAGTGAAATAAACAGTTATTTATTCTGTTGATCCCAAATGTTAGTCAAAATCAGTCAGTGTAAAATAAATGGTAATCAAATAGAATGGTACCGGAAAGGAATTATGTACGCAAATAATTTGCATTGCAAAGTTGACGCAGTATAGCACATATGCCGATCAAACAAAATTTAACAGTTTTGTGTATTTTCAGGAAAAAAAAATATGTTGTCTTATCTTTTTAAGAGAAACCTTTCCGAGAAATCGGTAAAATGAAGTTCATTTTTTTCTATATATTTCAACAGGAGAATGTCAAAACAGGACCATTTGAAGATACATTTCATTTACCTTTATACTGCATTATAACCACGTAAGCAATTAATTTGATAAAATTTAAAGTTAGAATATTCTACAAATTATAAAGAAGACATCAAAACTCAGGGTATATTTTCTAGTAAGATTTTATGCAGCAGACTTGTAACCTACCATAGGTTAGTGGAGAAAATTTCTAGGGTGAGAAATTACGTACGACTTATCAACTTTACAAAATAATCAGGTGGCAAGGGATAGTTTCGCACTAAAACCGGAGGTTTGATGGGATATTTTATGTAGAAAATGATTAGAATAATTTTTTGACATGTTTGTGGTGAAGCAGAGTGCTTGCTGAAAAACAATGATGTGCAACATGTAGATATTGTTACTATGGCACTTAACATATTCAGAGTTATAAATGCGAAACTAAAACACGTTATCGGTTGAAGAGGAAATTCAGCTGAAAAGCAAGAGCCCTTAGAAGAAGATGTATATCTCAGAGGGAAGGTGAATGACCAAACATCAATTGGTTAATTTTCGTTAGGGCATAAATTGATTTACAGATTACATAATACTGCATGGATGTTTTGTCCTGCTCGCTTGGGCCTGAGTGTGGGCTGTATGGTTGCGACTTACGCCAAAACTCTCTGAAAAACAAGTCAAAATCTGGGTATTCCCAGGGTGTATTCTATTTACATGTCCATGCTACTAGGCACATTTTATGTAATTTGTTGACATAATTTGTGAGTCATGGGCATATGTAGTGTAACTAATTATAGCATGGAAAACGGTTTTTATGTACATTTTATTGATCGCATGGATATGTGTATCCCCTCAGCACAAGTTGAGCATAAAAAACTGCTGCCACCTTCAAAAAAAAAAAAAAAAAAAAAAACAAAAAACAAAAAATTTCAGAAATATGTCATTTAGTCTTATTCTTCTCTAAATAAGTTTATTAATGTATTACAAAATATATTTATTTTAGTTGACTAATATTTATTTAGGTAGAGACCATAAACAAGCGGGTTAAAAAAAGAGTCATTGTCCAAAGGTATCAGTCCAAAAAAACCTCACTTATCCAAGAAATCGTTGTGCTTTTATTCTTTTTTTTCAAATTAAACCCATTTTACTATAGATGATTTCATAATCCCCTTCACCCCTTCCTAAATTTATCTTCTTTAATGTGATATAAATTGAATTTTTCAATTTAATTTTATTAAAGAATATATATTTTTCTTTAGAATGATAACAAAACAGATATCTTTTTGCATATTTAATGAAAGAAGTCTAAAATATGCACATTTTCATGTAATTATTGGAATCTACTAAGCATCTGAAATTTACTAACAAATGCCAAATAATGACAGGATGATCACCTTTAATATTCAGGAGAATCAAATGCATGTATTTGATCATTCAGAAAAGTTGAAATTAAATGTAATTAAAAAAAGCTTGCCTACTGGTAGCGGGTAAATTACGGTCTCAGGCGTTGATCTACATGAACTTTGAGTGCCCACGAGAGTTCTATTTTTTATAGGTAGTCGATGTCTCAAATACGTATTATCGTTATTCTTTGCTTTGCAGTTGGTACAACATGGAGAAAGAAACTATTGAACGTTTCCTAGAAGAATTGGATTTAAAAAATGATATCGAAACTTTTAGAAGGAAACTTATTGACTTTGAAGCATTGGAACTAATGGATGATAGAGACTTCCAGAAAATTGGAATTTCCATTGGAAAGAGGATAAAAATCATAAAAGAATTACAACGGAGGAAAATGAAGAGTTGTTCTTCTTTTTTCTCTTAATTTTCTTTCTCTTTCTCTCTCTGAATTTAAGAATTATTTGATTTTTCAACAGATACGTTTCACACTTTTTTATTCTTTTACTTTTAAGCACGAGAATGCGACCGAATAGACAAAAAATCGATTTTTGAAGCAGCGGTTTTGGAAAAACGTAATTTTTGAAATTATATTTATTTTTCACATTAATGAGAGACTAAAAGATGCAATTGTTCAAACAGTTAGTACAGTCATGTATTATTCTTCATTTTTAGCCCACGAGAAAGCGTTTGGGACTAGACCCCATACAGCTTTAGGAGCAACATGGAAGAAGCAAGGTTTTGGAAAAAAAATTCAGAAACCTTTGTTCATTGATTTTAAAATGAAATGCAATATTTAAAGGCATTAAAATAAAGCTTGAAAAAGGACAAGATAATGACTATATATATTTTTAATAGAATGCCTATTTTTTATATTTAAGAAAAAAAAAACATAAGTATGAAGGTTTAGATAAAAAACAACATCAAATATTATATTGATTACTTAAGTTGAATATCCCTCTGCTCCAAATTTCACCATGCATTTTTTAAAATGCCAAACATTGTTTTTCATCCAATATTCTAGCATAAGTTCAAATGAAAAATAGTTTGAAGTATGAAACGTTGCTTACTTTTACAGAAAAGAATATTTTGTTGAAACATGATGTGTGGAAAATTTGATATGGTAATTGGAAATATCAAAAAAATCTTTATCTTACAATAAAATAAAACAATGTTTAATATTATACCTATCTAATTTTGATCAAAAACATAATGAAGCGTTGGTTTTTAAAATCAGGATATCAAGTTATTTTCAATGCTTGTAAAATAGTATTCATCCATCAACAGGACTTATCTTTCCATGATCGTCCTTGGAAATATATTTCGGACACAGAATACTAATTATTTTGCTTTACATTTCTTTATAATATAAAAATAATTTTAACAATTTCACCGGCTTAACTTACGTAAAACTGGGCATATAGTAAGACCAATTCAAATCCAATAAAATATTAAGCTCTCGGGTGCTTTTTCACTAAAGCTTTGAGGAAAGAGTAAATTAAGGCCTCATTACACCCTGCCTACTACGAAATTTAAAGTAAAATTTCCCATTATTATCAATTTTCAAAATTCAGGCCCTCTCCATTCCATTTATGCCCAAGAATAACCACATTCAACTCCATAAACACCTCAATAAACCTCAATTTTGAAACTGGCTCTACTTGCATGGTCAATGAAATGGAGGTTAAATGAGTATCCTTTTACCTTTTTAGTGAAACGAGATATCAATTACATGTTTCTAAACAATTCTGCATCTAAAAATTATGAAAAATTAAGACATACTTTTAGACATAGAAATATCCTAATTTTCAAAGTCAAGAGGAACTTAGCTTACGTGTAGTATAAATGTTTTAGGTAAACTATTTTGGATAATTAATGAAAATATTGGCAATGGAAACCAGAGATCTATATCTGTACATTAGATTTCATATGTCTATTAAAGAACTTGTATAGTCTGACAAGACAATCGATTAAAGAAGAAGGTATGGTTTCCATACAAATTTTGCCCTGTGATTTTATAAAAAAGGAAACTGGTGTAGAAGTTGAAAACTCATACTTCTTAAATAATTGAAATTCAATGCAGAAAAATCATACGAGTCACTTTTCTCACATGTGTTTTTAAATGTTAATTATGACGTCAAAAACATGTGCATTTTCCCGTATTTTTAAAAAAAATTGCAGAAGACACCAATTTTCAATGACATTTCCTAACATAGTCCACAGGCATCGCCCACAAAGATCTTGATATGTGTGATTTGTTATTCAATTTTGCACAAAATATCAAAAAATTAACGTGGGCGACGGCTGTGGACACTGTTTTCTAAAGGAAAATCACCCTTGATATGTGCCATTTTGAGGCTTTTTCTGTCGAAAATAGAGAAATGCCTCACATCAATGACGTCATATTTGCAGAATGGTAAACCATCATGCCATATTCTTTCCTGATTTATCAAAGTCATTTATTTAACTAATGTTTGAGCCAGTTTCAAAATTTTTTGATGCATTACATTTTTAGGACGCAATAATGCTAAAACCATACCTTCTTCTTTCATGGAAAATGACTTCAGTAAGTTATAACTCTTATCAGAGGGATGTTACACCTTAAGTTATCTTAAAGGGTTTAAAGGGTAATTTTGAATAAAATTCTATATTTGGTATAATTTTCACGATATTCAATTTTATTTCAGAGAAAGGTAAAAGAAGATAATGGTTATGAAGTCTTAGGAGCCGAAGCATAACAAACCCAAAATCAAACAAACAAAAAAACACAAAAAAAGAAAAAAGAAAAAAAAAAGAAAAGAAACAAGAAAAACATCAATTAAGATTGATCAATTCCATTTTATGTGTAAAGAAAAATATATTTAATCCTTATCTTAAGTATCTTTAACTTCTAAAGCGTTTGCAAATGAAATGAATTATTTAATTTTTTTTATTAAAATTATAATTTATTTTTTTAAACAATGCGTTGAATATGAGATAATTTAAACAGGCGAGGTAAAGTTACTCGGGTTAAAAGGGTTACTAAACACTTAACCACTCTCTACAAGTCAGTATATTAGAGAAAAACGAGCAGGTTTGTATACTTTTTCTTTTGTACATATATGTATATTTGTGTCGAGGATGGAGGGTCGGGAATGAGTTGGGTGAATGTGTCTACTTTAAGTTTTGGTAAAGTCTAAAATAAGTTCGAGAGAAGTCATGCTCATCAACTTTGATGTATTAATGGATGTTTCATTTCTGATAAATACAGTACCGACCAGACACAACCTTGAACCAAGGCAGTCCCATGCTGCTTATACCATTTATTAAGTTATTCTTGTAGAAAATAGTAATTTAAGTGTAATATTCTAAATGAAGAAATAAATGAGGAAAGGTATATCAATCACATAAAATAAATACAATTATTTTGATGAAAGGGTAATAAACTACATAAATATAAAGTATTCCTATTATTATTCACTGGGGAAATCATTTTTTTTTCAATAAATATTATTTCTGTTTAGAAATGACTGTCAAATACATGAAAGAATCATAGACATTTGATGAAAGTACCCAGAATCAATTTCAACTGCCTTTTATGAATATTTTGTTTTTTGGCAATCTCATGTCTGAGTAAACCACGCCCATTAAATTTATAAACCCGGCCCAGTTGGACTACTGGGACCACAGGTACTGCTGGGATCGCAATGTGACTACTGTAGGACTCCTTTAGGACCGCTCTAGGAAAGCTTTAGCAGCCCCAGAAAGCTCTGGGACAGGTCTGTGTCATGTTGGGTCTGGTTAGTACTGTATTTTATAAAAATTATGAACCTATTGTAAAAATTTATTATGGAGATTTATTTTACTTATTTTAATATTGAAGATTTTGGATCTCTTATTTATCTAAAGAATTGGATTTCGATGGTAATTTATTACAAATCGTTTAATCATTCATATTTCATTTTTATATTTGGAAAATAAAACTATTCCAGAACAATATAGTGAAATAGCTACACCCATGAGAACCTGTTGGTACGAAAAGGAATCTCAAAAGACGAAAACAGGTAAGTAATTACATGTATAGGTTATAACTGTTTAATGTCGGTCGATTATTATGTTATTCATTTGTACTGCCTTTAGCTATTCTTTTCCTGATAGCTCAGTTTATTGAAGTCAAGAGACATATATTTCATAGACAATATTTACAATCACATTTTTAAAACACATGTCATGTAATAATGAAATAAACATGTAACGTACATGTACAAAACATAGAATATGTTCGATTATTTATAAATTTGTTAAAGACACTGTTCCTGATGTACTTGCTAATTGAGTTATTGAAGCTCATGTGATACCCCCCCCCCCCCCCCCCCCCCCCCGAAGTGAAAATTAAAAATTCTTAATATCTTGAATGGCTCTCCCGCGCATCTGTCATGAGCATTATTTCTCCTTTGTATGGAATTCATCAAATTGTTTATCCTTCAAAACCTGGCTATATTGGGCACGGGTAGCCACGCCATAAAAATTAGTCGTCATCAAATTGCATGTGTTTTGGTCTTTTAAGTGTTTCCCCTACTCGACGTCATACATTTTACGGTTGAGTAATTCTGAACACTGATTTTGGTTTATAATAACCATGTTTTTGATCTGACAAATTTTCGTTATTTTCGGGCATGCGGTTAATTTCTTTTGTATATTATGCACCCTCCCGTTTCTTTTTCCTTTCAGTATATTAACATTTGCAAATATCTTTCTTAGATGAACCTATTGAAGAGAAAATACGTTCAATTTTGTGTGAAAATCATTTGGGGATCAGATATCATAGCGCCATCCGATCACAGAGCGATGTGATATTTTGACCAAACAGCTTCTAGGTTATTGCGAATCACTATATAGCGATACGTTGGCCCGCTTGTGTACAAATACAACTTTAGTCGAAATGTATATGTTTCAAATGTAAATATAAGTTACAAACAACAATGTTAAAAATTTCACTGGGGAATGAACTTTTAACTGGAACGTTATCCAATCTACTGAGAGCCCTTCGGGCTTCACAGGATTTGATCACTTGACCAACTTAAAGTTCATTTCCAAGAGAACTTTTTAGCATTTTTTTTTTATTTCTTAAATAGAATTGAAGGGGTTAAAAGTCCCTTTTCTTGTATATTTTACGTAATATCATTAACTTTAATAAACTTTAACTTCATTCTTAACAGATAAGAGGTTTTTCAACATTTATTTTAAAGTGTGTGAAAAGGGAGTTGTCATTTTGTCTGTTTAGAACATTTGAGATCGTTTTTCCGCTATTTGGAGAGGCCAAAGAATTTGCGATTTAGGAATGGAGGCCTGCAAGGCGAGGATAATCCTACCCTTTGAGGAAAGACATTTCGCAATTCTCAAAATTCAAGAAAAGTTAATATTTTTTTCAAATAGTCTGGCCCTGATTCTTAAAAAGAAGGCTAGAAATAACCTCTAACCGTACGGCAAATAACTATTATTTGGTCCAGCATAGTTTTTTAACCTATTCGAGTATGCTGAATCCGAAAAAAAATATGCCGGCCTTCATGAAAATGGCGTTATAGAGGTCAAAATGGCGATTCAAAATGGCGGACATCAAATTTTTCGAATTTTTCTTAATATCGTTCAAAATTGAGAAATATTGAGTAAATATCTAACTAAGTGTAATAACACTATAAAAATATGATGGGATGTCAAAGTTATTCGTTAAAATCAGTTTTAGTCAAATTTATTCGTTTCTACACTTAATTCGAACTTTCTCTGATTTTTTGGTCTATTTTTTCTGTATTCTTCTTTGTTTATGATGTTTTACATTAGCAAATATCCATACTCTGCAGATTTGTTGTTTTCCCTCTACATCTCGCTATTGTACAATTGAATGATAATGCAGCTGTAAGTTAAAAGTTGAAATGTCGATTCAAAATGGCGGACATTTATTTTTTTCTTCAAACTATTTAATTCTTAATGTCGTTTAAATAGGAGAGAGAATTTGTGAATATCTTCCTGAGCGTAGTGCAGCTATGTAAAATGACAATAGAACACTAATTTGATCCATTTAAATCGAAAACTCTGGTCGTTTGAGTTTGAAATGTGTTAATTAGCTCAAAATGGCAGTTCAAATGATGTCTTATACATTCAAATTTACTTCTGGTACTTTTTGCAAAATAAAAATTACAGTTTTTTTAATTCATAAAATTATGTAAAAGTATGCGGTGAAAGTTGGAGGATATTTTTGTTAATGACTTAGGATTTTTCTAACACTGATTTTTGTTTAATTACTTCTATTGTTAAAATAAATTTTTGACAATTCCGAGAACATTTTTCCTATTAACTGTCTCACCATGCTTCTTCATATAAAAAGTTAATGATATCGTACAATAATTGCTGTTTTAAAGACAATTTAAAAAATGAAAGCTACCCCAAGAGCAGTATTCCCAGAGCATTAAGGCGAGTGAACATTTAGCTGTTTGAAATTCTAGATGGATATGGAAATAACGAACAGTATTCAATCTAAACGTCCATTAAACAAATATACAAAATAAGAGCAGAGCAAACACGAACCTCCAAAACATCAGAGGTGGGATAAGGTGCCATGGAGGAGTTAGCATCCCCTGCCGACCGGTCACACCCGCCGTGTGCTCGTTGTCATATTCAGGAAATAACGGAAAAAATCCGTGGTCAATTCAGTGTATAAATAATGGACTAACAATTGGTATGAAAAACGTCAGTCAGCATTTCATTCAATGATAAATTGTATTTGCTGACAAGGTCATTGTATCGACCATAGAATTTACGAAATGATGACTTTAAACGAGACTGTTGATATTCTTGTTTCACCAACTTGCTTGTCAATAATTAACCTCGTTTAAGAAATTGTTCATACGTAGAGCATGCTCTTGCATATCAAATCAACTGAGATATAAATACTCCGTATGCAGGTGATGAAGGTATATTGCTGCATAAGTAAGGGAAGTTGACGATAGAAAAGTTAAAGTCATTACGTTTATCATATAGCTTGGTTTTTAGATTACCATAAGTGTCTTTTTCAAGTAAAATACCCAAGTATGAAGCAGAAGTGTAGGACTCTGTGGTATCTTTTATCTCAAGCTCACCAGGATATATCGTGTCGACGTAGGAATGGAAATTATCATTATTAATTGACAATACGTCGTCGATATATCTAAATGTGGAGTTGAAAGCCACAGCAAGTGTTTTCTTCTTTTCACGTAAAAGATTTTGCATAAATTCTGCTTCATATGAATATAAAAATAAGTCTGCTAATAACGGAGCGCAATTTGTACCCATGGGAATTCGAATACAGTAGATTGTTGGAATACCTGGTCTCCAAAAACCACATAGATATTGTTAATCAGAAACTCAAACATCTTCTTGATGTCAACTTCAGAGTACTTATGTGTGCAATCAGAATCTGTTTTAACAAAATAATTTTTCAAATGACCAATGACGAGGTAAGTAAACTTACGAGTTTCATTTCTGTTGAAGAAGCAGCTGTCAATGATATCAAAAAGCCTGGATTTTAATTTGTCGTGGGGAATTGTTGTGTATAAAGTTGAAAAGTCGTAAGTTTTTATGCTGTTGATTTTTGTAAAGTCTTGTGATTTCAAATTGTCCAAAAGTTCTTTAGAACATCTGATTTACACCACTTCTTGAATATATAGTTGTACAGTACTCTTGAAGTTTTTCCTTCACTACTGTCAATATTACGAGTAACGAAAGAGGCTTGGTTGAACATTTACTGGAACCTGCAGATCTATTTTAATCTGGTATAGAAAAAAATACATGTTTATGTTCATGTGGAAGGTCTAGTGCAACATTACAAAGTATGATTTTTAAAATGATTGACCACGACCAATTAGAGGGCTAGTTATTGTTAATCATATAAATCTGAATATATTATAATATCCAAATATAAACATATTTATTAAGAATTATCAGCATAATATACGTAAACCATAAATTTTCTTGATTGTCCAGCTCTGAAACTGTGTCCATACATTTGCATTTTGTTATTCTCTGTCAAAAATTCAACAGCATTCTCAAATATTTCATGCTGTGGACGGATAATTTTGTATTGAAAAATGTATATAAATTTAAAAATTTGGAAATTTACAAAATCTTTAAGAAGAAAATGTTTGTGTTCAATCCCCCTCTACACTTACATACCTTACACTATCCTAACAAAGACGTGTGAATCAAGTTGCCTTGTCAAGTCAAGTGTTCAAAAAAAGAAAAAAAGAAGAGTCGACTAGATCAAAATCAAGAATGGCTTACGCCTCTTGTTACGAAAGCTTGTAAGTGATGGGAGTCACGAGGAATCTGCAGGCGCCCTTAAATTGCATAATATTACGACTTTTCTCACCACAATATGCACACAATGTGATTCCAGATGATAAAGTTTGAGAATTTTATTGCGTATAGAATAACCTTTCTATCCTAAAAGACAACAAATCTATATGTGCCAAGAGGCTTAAGCCATTCTTGATTTTGATCTAGTCGACTCTTCTTTTTTTTCTTTTTTTGAACACTTCAAGAACTTGACAAGGCAACTTGATCCACATGTCTTTGTTAGGATAGTGTAAGGTGTGTAAGTGTAGAGGGGGATTGAACACAAACATTTTCTTCTTAAAGATTTTGTAAATTTCAAAATTTCTAAATTTATATATCTATTATATACGTCATATTAGTGGTCGGCAGGGGATGCTCACTCCTCCATGGCACCTGATCCCACCTCTGATGTTTCGAAGGTCCGTGTTTGCTCTGCTCTTATTTTGTATATTTGTTTAATGGACGTTGAGATTGAATACTGTTCGTTATTTCCATATCCTTCATTAAGTAATATTTGATGGTGTGCCGAGCGATGTTGAGGTAGAAGTGCGAGTTCATATTGACAGGACGCAGGGGTGATTTTAATTTGACAGCACACCACAGTTAAGGTTATAAAAAAGAGGCGGAGCCTAATTTGTACGGGAACACTTGACTATGACATCATACACAAGATACGTCATGCAACTTTTCTTTAAAG